CGGCGCTATGCCGACATTACTCATGAGTGTACATGGTAGTAAGTGAATGCCCCACTTGAGACTTTCGACCAGAGGTGTGAATCTAGTACTATGGGGCTCAGTGGCTCGCAGCTTCGACTGTGCTGACTCGTTGAGTTTGGATTCGTAGTGGCTGTGGTTACTACCCAATCTTACCCCGGTAGAATGATTGAAGTGTGTATTCACCACCGGATGCTGAGACCCAAATATCAACAGATGTTTTGGTAGGCTTCGCATGATACCGAGTTGGAAGTTATATCCTGAAGACATAACTTCATTGGTATCGGCAGAAATTCTTTGGAATTTCCAATAGAACATGTCTTTCTAGAGCACCGTGGTCTTAAGCCGTCAATGCAGGTACTCAAGCTAAACAACACTGACACTGATACTGACGAGTTCCTAACATACAAGCAAAAAATATATTCGAAGTACACACAAATAAGTGTATATATATATGTATATATATATTTAAATATCTAACAAAAATATGTATATAGATATTGTTTAGTACAATGGCGGTCTTAAGCCAATGCATATATATTCAAGACATAAAAATATATATTCATATATATTCATAACATATATACCTTCCTAATCCCTTTTCCCAACTTACATAATCAGCGTTTCGCCCAAGCCATGAATACTCTCACATTTATACGTTTCACATTTATTTATTTTTTTTTTAAATACCAAGACCGCCAGTTATTGAATGTCTCTATCACATCTCTATGCCTCAATTATTTGAATGATGTGTTCACATGGCGGTAAAAATTCTTTTCCATTCATTCCTAAAAAGTGGTTTTCAAAGCCCAGACAGTTACAAGAATTATGGCTTGAATTCTTATCTGATTCTGTGTAAACATGGACCATGTTGACCCATCAGATAACCTGCACTTAGTCGCAGCTTTTTTAACTCAGGAGAAATATCTCATCATCGTCGTAAGCACAAATTTTCAAATTTGTGTACTTTTTGCTATAGGAACTGCCCTGCTTTTTGCCACAGCTCTATGCTACTGAGGGGGTATGACTTATCATAGTTATGTAATTCGTCTCCCTTGTAAAATATTAGTGATTGAAAATTATTAAAAAAACTTGAGGAAATATGCTGTATATGCCTTATTACTATACTATAAAACTGCTGGCGAAACTTCTGCAAAAACTTCCGGAAAATGTGTGCGGTTTACGCTTAGATTGTCTAGAAGTGGTTTGTTTGATTTCGATCAGGAAATTTTGATATTAAAGATGCACCTCGCTTTGGTCGGCGACTTACTTAGAAAACTGATGAAATTTTGCAACTGGTGGAGCAAGACCAACATGCACGCTGTCAGAAGAGAGCGGAGACATTAAACTTCAAATATGTTGTTTGAAAGAGCAGGCTACGCAAAAACAGTTGATGTCTGGTCACCAAATGAATTAAGATAAAAAATGTTGATTGACCGAATTACCTTCTGTGGAATGTTGCTGCAACGCATCCAAATCCAACCATTTTTGATGCGATTCATTCCGAATGATGAAATGCAAATAAATTATGACGAAAATGAATAAAATAACAGAATATCCAATGCAAGCGATCATAGCAACAAGCCGATGGTTCACCACAAACGATTGCAAAGCCTGGCAAACAGGGTTATGTTCAGTGTTTGTGGGAGCTGTAATAGATTGGAACAGAATTTTCTATTAGAAGCTATTCTAGTTTGGTGCAGTAGTTAATCACTATTGCTCATAACTTGACCCTTTGTATGAAACAATCAAGGAAATGCCACCAGAATTGGCCAATAGAAAAGCTGTTGTGTTCCATTATGAGAATGCCAGATCATATACGTCTTATATGGCTCAATAAAAATTGACGAAAATTTGTTGGAAAGTTTTAATGTATCCACCGTATAGCCTGGGTAACTATCATTTGTTTTGATCGCTGCAAAACTGTTTTAGTGGTGAAAAATGGGTCGTTCGAAACGCTGTTAAAAATCGCTTAGTCAAGTTTTGCGCCACTAAGCTACGGAAAAATATGAATTTGTGTACTTTATTGTCCAAACCTTCAGATATTTACTAATTGGAGCTTCGTGACAGCTATGGCTCCATAACCACTTAAATGGTTATCGACCCCTGCCCAATATGTATTGCCCAATGACAATACCCGGGCACGGTGAAGGCTAGTCACCGGAGAAACGTCAAAATAAAAATGTTTATACTTAGCCCTATAGAACTATAATCTATCTGATGACATACTCTACCCCCATTCACAATTAGAACTATATAATTAAATAAATATAAACAAGAATATTAAACATACAATCAATTATCTGCACATCTGCGTTTTTTTAGCGAGGCTACAATATCAATAGATATTCAAAAGTCATTTGTCAAGTTCTCTACAAGTTTCCACTGACGCATTTCGCCTGGGGATTACCCAGGCTCATCAGAAAGCCGTAGATACTTTTCAATATTAGCTAATAGATCAGGAGTATGCATAACTTCTAAAGGCTCTCTAAGTATTTAATCAAAAATATTCTTGTCGTTGCATTTGATTTTGCAATAAGTTCCTTAATTTATGGTGCCAACAAATAATTTCACAGGAATATGTATAAAATAATGAAATCGAAACATGCAAAACATTCAAAATATCTTAATTGAAATTAAACTAAATGTTCTTTAGATTGTTCAAGATTACAGGAACCAAATCTCTCTCAAATTTTAACTTATATTTTGAACTTACCTATAAGTTTTTTATTTAAGGCTTTTAAGTTGTTTCATTTTTTATTGGAAAAGCGACGTACACTCGCTTACACAGGCTTTTACGGCAGTGAATAATTTATATCGATGCCGTAGTCCTTCACAACCTCCTTTTGCGAATAAATAATTTTATTGGAAGTTTAGGAAAGTCGTAAATTAAAAGCCGAGCCGCAAAGGCCATGAGAGCTCAAAATGTACCTTTAAAGTATTTTAGAATTTTTTTTAAAAATTTATTGATGCTTTTTATTGACACTTAAAGTTATAATTCATGTAATTGTTCAACCTAATTGAATTACCAAGAAAATAAATTTTTGGTGTTTATGACCTCAACAAGTCTTAGTAATACTGTTATATACATTTTACTTCTATATGTTTCTGTATTAATTTATTTATTTTTTTTTTTTTGAAGTTGTGCCTTCATTTATAGCTGTACTTATGATTTGATTTAGTTAATAATTATTTAAATATTGTAATATTAGACGCTTGATATAAAAATAAATCAAAATGTCCAGTTCTTTCGATAAACCAATTATTTCGTTTATCGAATATATTGTATATATGCAATATATAGCATATATGGTTTAAATGGACATCAGTCAATAGATCTAATGAATAGAAATAGTTTATATACATATGTAGTGTAATTCAGCTCTTCAAACATATCGACGTGACAGTGGTATTGACACCATTTTTATATATCAGTTTGGTTCAACTGACGAACTTTTAAACTCAAGTCGTTATTTTCTTTAAATAATTAATACTAAAAAAAATTTGAATTTATTATAAATTACTTAATAAAAAGAATCCAACTAACTCTATCAATTTGGTAGTTATTATTATTAAAATTATTGACATGAAATCGCCCAACAGCCGGTACTACGGGCAGAATAGTCCTATTGCACCAATTTCGCTATTGATTACACAAAACCCTTCCAAGTTTTGTGAACAAAGTTCAGAACTAAATCTAGAGAATCTATTCTGTTCTAAATATTAATCATAAGAATCTGTTCTAAATCTTAATCTATTCTGGTGAGAGAAATTCCATATAAAATAAGTTTCTTCAGTTCGCTGTTAAAGCTGGACAATCACAAAGAATGTGCTTAGTAATTTCTTCAAACCATAGTATTCTGTAATGAAACCTGTTATCAACCTTAAGTCACCTTTTGAGAATTTGAGAATGTTTTTGTAGGAGTACGGTTTGATCAGTGCTTTGCTTTGTCGATGTCTTGAAAAGTCTTCGCAGCGCATCAACCTCATATGATTCTCCCTCTCCTTGATTATTTGTTTTGTATTGGCACAGTTTCACTAACAAAAGGATTGAGGGTCTGTAAAAGTAGTTTTTTATGCAGTTCTGGCTAGCTCATCATCGTGTTCATTTCCCAAAACTCCGTTGTGGCACGAAACCCAGTAAATCAATTTGGTGACAATATACTCAACATTTCATTTGATATGTCAATTATTTTTCTATTCAAAAGCTTTTTAAAATTCACTGGTCAGAGTACTGTTTGGTGATGGAAAAATTGAATATCATCCAGAGAACAAATTTTTGTAAATAAATATTTACAATCCAACAAAAGTGCAATTAAACTTGTATTAGGAAGAATAAAAAAGTTTTGTACGTCGTTTCATCACAATGGATAATGCTTGGATCTGCTGCAATGATTCTGAAAACAAAGAATTGGCTTGGAATTGGAAAAAATTTATTGCTTTAAAATCTCTAAAAAGACCTCGGTCTAAAAAACGGCTAATCGATCTGTTGTAATTGAATCACTTACTAAGCCATACAAATGTTTCGACCTCTACCTAGTCGACGTCATATTGATTTTCAGTGGATCACGTTTTTCGTTATGTCAGCAGATTAACACGTCGCTTATTCAGCCATAAAAATGTGTCGACACTTTTTTAGTCTTCATTATATTCATTTTCAATAGATCATGTTTTTCGTTGTGTCAGCAGACTAAAACTTCGCTTTTTCTTGGTTAAACGAGCAGAAAAATTGTTTTGAATATCTTGGAAATCATTATAACAACATTATTATTTATTCCTTTTAGTAAATTTTTTTTTTTGACATATATTATACCAATTGAACGACACTAATAACATCCATAGTAGGTTTAGTGATCCGAAAGTCTTAACTTAAGGATTTATAGAAAACGTTTACGGAAATAAAATTCGAATTGTATTTGATTGAACGTTCAAAGGAGGAATTTAAAAAAAATTTAAAAATTTTTATAAAAATGTCAATAAGATTCAAATTTTCCAGATTTTGGTAATTGAAATGGCATTTCAGTTTTTCGTGTTTATTTTCATTACATTGTTTTTTGTAGTTCTTGCGTTTGGTACTCCGATGTTATTTAAATGGGTATGTGATTATCTCTTACCACTTTAATTATTTACTCACTTACTTACTTCAAGGGTCAAGGTGATCAGACCCTCTTTCGAAGCTTCTTCATATTAACTGCACTGGTAACTTGGATGTTTTGGGTGCTATGCTATTTCTCACAAATGAATCCATTAATTGGACCAAAACTTGAAAAAAAAGCTATTTTAATAATTGCGAAGAATTGGGGTCATGAAGTAAGAACCTGAGATATTTCCCATAAGATGATGTGATCTTAACGTCGGCACACTGTATATTGCCACAGTTGAATTTAGTTGTGTAAGACTTCTTCTTCTGGAAGTGAATCGATTTTTTTTGCTCTTCATTGTTTCTGAAATCTTTTTATTTAAATAATAATTAACATTTATTTTTCATGTTTAAAAAATTTTGTTTACACGTACTAAATACTATACCAGTAATCAGTCAATCACACCAACTCAAATCGCAGATATTACCAGTGACTTCCTAAATAAGATTAAAAGCAGCCGATGAAGATTAAGAATTTGATGATGAATGGCTTACTTCTATTCACTGTGTTTTTGTGATAAATTGTGATATTTCACAAAAATTAATATATAGAGAAAATATATTCCATATATTCCAAAAAATATATTCATTTTTAAACATCTATTAAAACCCATTTTTTTATTTTAATTTTGTTGTTTTATCTCATATGTGGTCCTTTCAATTATAATTTATTTTACAAGAATCATGTGACATGATTATTTTCACAGACAGCATTTTATAATATATAATCTTCATCATATTTATGATTTATCTTTAGAGACGCCAGTCAATTATATAGTATCATAGTTACTAACGCTTATCGTCGTTTGTCTTGTTTCAGCTATGTTAATCCACTGATTTGTCGCTCGGAATCTCGTTCCACGGTGGTAGACTTTTTTTGATTTTTTTTTTGGTTTTGTTTTAACAAAGTTTTTTTTTTAATTATTATATAAATACAATCTGTAAAAGAACATTCAGTATTATTTATGAACATAAAAATAGAAAAAGTGATTTGTAGACATGTGCGGGACACTCAGTAGTAAACACCGCTAAAGATTAAATTACAACTAATAATAATGATGACTAATAATAGTGAGTAAATATAAATATAAATATTTAAATATTTAATTTCAGTGAGTTTACAATTACGATTCACGTGTTTAGGGTTCTACTTGGCAAGTCCGACGTAGAAAATCTTCTTAGTCGACGTGGATGATTGATATCTGATAGTAGCTCGTGTGCCAGTGTGTTCGGGTGATTTGATAGTCTTATACGATAGTTTTTGCTGACTGTTTGTATTGTTTCAAACACTGATGAGACGTGGAGATCGCGCTGTAAAGTACTATTTGGAATATACCATGGAGCAGCCGCACATAAACGAAGTATTTTTGATTCAAATCTTTGCAATAACGCTATATTAGATTTTGCAGCTGTTCCCCATATCGAGACACCGTAGGTCCATATTGGTTTTAAAATAACTTTATATAAAAGTACTTTATTGTTCAGTGATAGTTTTGAATTTTGGCAAAGAAGCCAGTGCATGGAGCGCATTTTTAGACCCAGTTGCTTGCGTTTCGTAAATATATGATGTTTCCAGGTGAGACGCCGATCAAGATGAACACCTAGATACTTCCCGTGATCGGATTGTGGTAGTACGTTATTATTTAGTGTGACTGGTGGACAGTAACCATTGCGAAGAGTGAATGTGGTTTGTGCAGATTTGGATTGATTAGCTTTAATGCGCCATTTGTTTAGCCACACTTGGATGCTATCTAGGTTTGTTTGCAACTGACTAGTAGCGACTGTTGGGTTTTTGCTTTTAGCCATGATCACTGTGTCATCGGCAAAAGTTGCGACAAAGTAAGTAAGAAACAACACAAAGCCAACGTCTGTGGGAGACTTCAAGTCACTAAAGTCACCCCGATGGCCGACGGTTAGCTCTCTCGGGATCAGAGATTTAAGGCAAATGTGTCACAGCAATGGTTAGGAGCAGTTGTTATTTGTAATGTTCCATTTTATAAGCTTTCAAGAGTTATTAGTATTGTTAATTTCTAATAATAAGAAAGATTAATAGAAAACGTGTAGTAAATATAAAAAAAAAAAATAAAATTTATTCCAAATGGGTCAAATATTGCTTTAAGCATATGCAACTAGTCCTTAATTTATTTTTACTTATTCGAGACTATGTCATTTAAAATTTCGGCTTAAACGAATAATGCTTAATAGCAGGAAAAATGTATTAAAGTTAAGAAAAATACGGCAAGTATAAAAAGTTTTAACTGAACCTAGTAAAGAAAAAGCATTTGACAAAGTAAATATGTGACATAGTTCCACTACATTTACAAGTTTAGCATTGTTCTACAATGTACTAAATCACTTGAAGCTGCTCTCATGGGAAGTCGACAACCAATTTCTATCCAACCAATTTAGCTGGACCCCAAGTCTTTTGTGTTGCGCCTGTAGTGAAAATATGTATTAGCATTCCCCGTTGTCTTTATAAATATTTTTATAGAACTCTTTTTCCCGTTGTCTTCTACCTTTATAAAAGCTCTCATAAATATTCCCTATTCCCTAATCGTAACACCTTACGAAAAATTTGATTTTTCTGTGTCTCAATAGATATAGAGGATAAAAGTGGTATATATACGTGTCACTTTTATATACCATAATTTTTGCATACTAATACTAAAACTAAAATTAGTTTCTCTGAAACTCTAAATTACCAAATATATTAGATATTAGAATAAATTTATAATGGCTTAAGTGGGTGAGTGTAGTTGTACGTGTATGGGAAGTTTTGAAAATCTCGTTGGTTCTTCATCACAATCCGTAACAGAATTTTGAATGTGAAAGGTAGTATATTTTAGCAATTTCAGTCTTTCATACAGCCAACATTTGTATTTAGATATCGACAAAAATGAATTATTGAAACGAAAACAACCTCAGCAGACCACTATCACAAATGTGGTTATTATAATGTATGTATCGTATTCTGTTGTAATCGGGATACGATGACCACGACTACATTCATGCACCGGACAATTACACTTGCTAGCACCCTTTGCGTTACCTTAAATAGGTAGGTTGAAGTGGCGGCCTTGTCTCCAAAAAGGTCACTTGAGCTAAAATCATGACACATTGTGCTGCCACAGGAATAACATTGGTATGTACAAAGATTAACATCAGTATAGAAGCAACGCCTAAAAAGATGACGATTACCCCATTAGGTAAAGGAAAACCAAACTAACAGTTCTATAAATTTGATAATATTACAGTATGACAGCTCGGTCAGGTCAGTGACGAAAGGAGCGCCGAAAATTTTTGATTTTCTCCTAGCTAATGAAGGGCACTGACACATGAGATAGAACACGGTGTCCTCTTCAGAGCCACAGCATTGACAAAAGTCATTGTAGGATAGACATAGTCGCATAGCATGCCGTGTTATTTCCCAGTGACCTGTCAGCACAGATACCGTGGTGCGTTTCTTGTCTAAATTAAACTAAGTCAACCTAGATATTTGACAATGAGGTTCATCAGTCCGGTATTGCTTGGCTATGCTCAAGAATTTTTGTTTAATTGCCATTGTAACTGTAGCAAGTGGAACGCTAATATCTGAGAAATGAATGTCAGGGAAAAGAGTCGCTGTCTTGGCAAGCTCATCCGTCCTGCAATTGCTCGAGATATACTTATGCCCACGAACCAAAATTAGTTTAAACCTAACAAGCCTCGCCAGGTCATTGAGAGAATTATGACAGTGTTGAGTCATAATTGATGTGGCTGAAGTGCCTATCAGTAATCTAATTAATGACAGCTTGGCTATCCGAGAAGATTGTAATGGATAGATACATCGGAGATTTTTGCAATACCTTTATGTTAGGTAACATAAAGAGGGATCATAAGCTATCACAACCACGGTTGCCACTTATGGTACTTTAGTACCAAAATTGGTACTTTTTTTTTCGTTTGGTACTCATGTTCAAAAAATGGTACATTTTTGACGACCCAACTTTATTGTGGATATTTCCAATTAATTTTTTTTATGAATGCAACTTTACACTATTTTATATTTTGTTCATTTATAACACTATGAAAAACACAAAAAAATTTTGGACCTTTTTTTACAGAAATGGTACCTTTTTAAACCAATTTTGGTACAGGAAAAAATTTTCAAGTGGCAACCGTGATCACAACGTGAAATAGATAGAACGAGAGAGAGAGAGAGGCTACAATATGGTGACCAATTTGAAAAAAAATAGTATGGTATATAAATATGTCTTTGTGAAATATATATAGACATATGAAAGTTCATAAGGTTAGCATTGTGACTTGTAATGTAAAAGAATATATCTGACTTTGCGACGATAACACATTTACTGAAAAGGAAAATACTGCCAAGAACTGTGAAGCTAAATAGTTATGATGGCTAACACATTGTTTAGAATTAAAAAATATTTCATGACATAAATATACTATCCTTTGTTAGTATCAAAGTTATGTTTATAGGTAATCATGACTGGCATTGCACTCACCATCAAGAGTATGAAAAATTGCAACAAAGTAAAGCTTTCCATCGTATTCAGTACATTTTCATTTGTGTACTCATATATATATATATATCGTATGTAACCATAAGTTTCCGCACAAAACACATAGATATGGGACACCACAACAAAATTTCTTGATATCTTTGGACAAAATAATTTCTTGGTGTAAGGAAATTTAAAATTTCATAATGTTTTGTTGTTTTGAGTGTTTTGAACAAATTTCTTTGTTTAATTTTATTCCTTAATCATATAACACTGACTGCTTTTAAGATGGTAATCCCATATATGCTTCTGTAGTACACAAAAGAGTTCAGACGAAATAATTAAAGGATCTTAATGACTGATTGTTCTAAATAGCAAATGGAACTCCTATTTACATGTACTTAATAGTAGTTCATATAAATATTAATTTCCAATTGTACCAATTTATACGTATGAATTGTTTTAATTTAATTTAATTTAATTGAAATGTAGAACTATTAGTTAGTTAGATATTTCTATACCAATTTTTTTAATGAAATATATGAGCGTTACATTGAATTTTCAACACTTGTTTGAAAATTAGTAGTCACTTCCAAATCAAGCAGAAATAAGTTAGCATATAAAGACACATTTTTAATAATTAGTTCCTTGATGATAGATTATAAGTTTCTCCACACTAATTTATTAAATGCTTGGTTGGTTGGTTGGTTGCAGTGGCAGGTCATTTGGTAACTTCGAATGTACCTCAATTAGCGATTTTTCTTCGTTTTGTTACCACATTCCTCGCAAGAACCCTAGTATAGAAGAGTAGAGACTAAATCCATCCCACTGAATTTA